AATCATTGTTATCAGTGTTAAGTTATTATATAATCCTATTTATCACTAGTTATATAACCCTTGTAAATACTAATTAATTATTATATTATATGTGTAATAACTGTAAAGTTATATACATGTAATCCATGTTGTCACTGTAAAGTTATTATATACTCCTTGTAAACACTGGTAAGTTATAATTTAATCCTGGTAATTACTGGTAAGTTTTTATATAATCTTTGAAATCACTGTTAAGTTAATATATAGTCATTGTTATCACTGGTAAGTTTTTCCCCTTTTTTTAACAATGAGTCTGTATTACACCCATCAAAATGATTTCTTCCCACAGATGTTAATCTATTGGATATAATTTGAGATTAATACTATTTTTTGCGAAAAAAAATAACATCACAGGAGGAAGAAATTACCTTAAATTTTAAATTTTGTTAATATCCCTCTTGCATTAATTGAAACCTTTGAGAGCCCTTTTATATTCTGATATTAAGAGAATTTTTTACTTATCCATTAATTCAATTTCATTTTTTGTCTTTAAAGTTATTTAGAAATTATGCAGCATTTAATGAAGAATATCAATTTTTTTAAATAGGAATATATAAGAATAAAATAATATTATATTTGTACTAATATTTTTTTAGCCATACAGCGTTCTTCAATTAATACTCTTGAATAAATTAATTCAACTTGGTTTAGAATTGGATAAATTTATACTTAACTAAAACAATTTCAATGATATCTTCTTGAGAATAATAAGGTTACATTGTAATTGATTTATACTTATTATCATGCAAACATTTGTACGTCATTCAAGTAAGGATGAAAAAAAGTTTTCATTTGAGATTTTAGGTTGTTGCTTTTATAAATCTATTTCGAATAGTGAATTGACTGATATACTCAGTATCTCCTCATTCATGTATAATATAAATTTTAACTACACGGACTTTTTCACATTTATAGCATCGAACACCTCTAGGCCGTCACCAAGAAACGTGACTACTAAGGGAAGTGACTGTTCCATAAATTACTCCAGTGGTAAGTTTTATATTATCCTTGTAATCACTGGTAGATTATTATAAAATCATTGTTATCACTGACAAGTTAATATATAATCTTTGTTATCAGAATCACTTACAAATATAAATGTTAACTACACAGATATTTTCATATTTACGGGATCCAACAGGTCGTCACCAATCAGCGTGACTAGTAAGAGCAGTAACTACTCAATAGATGACAGTGGTAAGTTATTTTATTATCCTTGTTACCATTGATAAATCATTATAAAATCCTTGTAATCACTGGTAAGTTATTTTATTATCCTTGTTATCATTGATAAATCATTATAAAATCCTTGTAATCACTGGTAAGTTATTTTATTATCCTTGTTATCATTGATAAATCATTTTATAAATCCTTGTAATCACTGGAAAGTTATTTTATTATCCTTGTTATCATTGATAAATCATTATAAAATCCTTGTAATCACTGGTAAGTTATTTTATTATCCTTGTTATCATTGATAAATCATTATAAAATCCTTGTAATCACTGGTAAGTTATTTTATTATCCTTGTTATCATTGATAAATCATTATAAAATCCTTGTAATCACTGGAAAGTTCTTTTATTATCCTTGTTACCATTGATAAATTATTATAAAATCCTTGTAATCACTGGTAAGTTATTTTATTATCCTTGTTATCATTGATAAATCATTATAAAATCCTTGTAATCACTGGTAAGTTATTTTATTATCCTTGTTACCATTGATAAATCATTATAAAATCCTTGTAATCACTGGTAAGTTATTTTATTATCCTTGTTACCATTGATAAATCATTATAAAATCCTTGTAATCACTGGTAAGTTATTTTATAATCCTTGTTACCATTTATAAGTCATCATAAAATCCTTGTAATCCTTACTATCAATAATCTTTGTTATCTCTTACAAGTTACACATGTAAAATAACTATATGTATAATTATATAACTTATATAATATTATTTAATCATTGGAAATTGTAAAGTAATTACATAATCATTGTAATCACTGTAAAGTTATGATATAATCCTTGTTATCACTGTTAAGCTATTATATAATCTTTTTTATCACCAGTTAGTTATCATATTATCCTCGTAATCACTGTTAAATTATTATACATATTCACATTTACAGCATCAAAAACCAACATCCCGTCTTTCAAGCGCAAAAGTGGTGAGGGTAGTTCAAGTTCTATCATATAATCCTTGACATCATTTTAAAGATATTATATAATACTTGTTATCAATGTTAAGCAATGATATAATCCTTGTTATCGCTGTTAAGACATTGTATAATCATATTTCGTTTAATGTTTTATGCCTTTTTATGAACTATTTCTTTTAAAGTTAATAGAGTTAATTTTAGGTACTATTAAGTACAAGAAATTAAGACACAAAGAAATGTTAATTTTTTTAATGTTGGCTTATCCAGAATATTTTGCCAAATTTTTTGAGTCAGCAGAGAGCGAATTAGACATGTTTTGTTCATCATCTTATAATTTTGCCATTCCAGATAAGGATCTCAATGAGAACACTAAGAGAGAAAACAGTGACCCTGCTATAGAGCAGACCCAAAACCAAGTCTCTCACTATACCATCCTGGGGGAGTACATATCACAGAAATATCAACGACATGAGATCTGTGATATCTGTTTTAAATTGGGCGATAAATTATTTCCAGCTCACAAATTAGTCTTAGCCTCACAGAGCCCTCTGTTTGCCGAGGTGTTTGAGCGAGAAGACTTCTCAAATGAACCGGTGGCCCCCAAAGTGATAAAAGTCAGAGGAGTGTCAGAAGAAGTCTTGGTTTCCTTTTTAGATTTCTTATATTCTGGAAAGATGGATATCAACTCCGTGTGTTTAAGCGATGTTATAAAATTAGCTGCGGTCTTTAAAGTGGACCAGATACGACGTTTATGTCTAAGGAAAATCGAAAAGCTGAATTGTCAGGATTTGCTTCAGCTCTTGCCAACAATGGCAAAACTACAGGAACACGGTATATGCGACCTGATAATCAGGAAAATTACATATAACTTCCTGGAAGTCAAGGAGGATCCAGAATTTTTTAACCTTGACCTTGACACTTTGTGTACGATATTGTCTGCTGATAATATCAAAGTCAGGTCGGAGTTCGAAATTTTTGCGGCAGCAGTTTCATGGATTCATCACCATGATTTCCAACAAAGAATCCATCACATCGAAAAAGTGATGAGCTGTGTCAGGTTTACCCTAATGACTAGTCAAGAGCTGTTCCTTTGTTTTCGAAAATTTCCCATGCTGAAACAGAACCCGACCTGCGTCAACATGATAACTATGGCCAATTGGTATATATTTTTTTAAAATTAATTTTCATTATGTCAATTTTAAATCAGTAATGAAAAGGTTTCATAACACATATGACTTACACATAGTACTAGAAGGTAATTCCACGTGATTTTATAAGAGTTCCTAAATCTTGTTAATTTCATTGAACTTCTTACCGTTAGTTTTCTTTTTATCCGGAATCTAGTTAATCCGGGATTTCGACGTATAGTATAATATTAATAGTAAATTTTCCAGTAATCATAAGAACGCGTACAGTATAATTATTTAGGATATATGTTTATTCATTGAACATCACTACATAACAGAGCTATCCCTTACACCAAGGGACAAGGGCTTTTCGTTGCCTTTCAAGTTTCAAGTAAACCTCCTTTCAATTTGGTAACCCCCCCTTTCAAGTAACATGTACATGTAGGGGAGAAGCCCATGGCCCACCTTATACTTTTTAATGTCCCCTGCTATTCCAATTTTAAGAGACAATTCTTTAACTATTAACACAATTTCAACACTAAGAATGTACAAGTTGCCACAAATGTTATTGTTTTACTTAATAAGGGCGAAGACCTCCATGGAGCTCAATGAGGAGGACCCGTTAGACCTCCCTGTCAACAAGAGAGACTGGTTCAATACTCAACAAAGTGTCAGTAAGTACGTAGAGGTAGGTCATCGGTTTGTTTTTTTTTTAAATATCTTCAATTTCTTTATCCTTTTTTTAATTCTATAACTTGACCATAAATTTTAATGGCTTTCAAAGAATATTCTAAAGGATTGCGGCTTTTAGCCTAATCATTTATTATAATATATGCATGAATGTTTTACATGTGTTTTATGTTTGCATTGTAATATGAATTAAACATTTAGAAAAAATGCTCACATTCATTTATTTATTTATTTATATATTTATAGATATTTTATATTTTTGGCAATTAAACATGTAAAAATTCTTGATGAAAAAAAGTCAATAAAATAGAATTTCTCATCATAATCTAGGCATATGTGGTAATTGTATTATATTTGGCTTGTACAATATTTGGAAGAAATTAATTTTCCAGCAAGTTACCGTTTATTTGAATAAGTGCTATCTGAATGTGCTAGATATAACATCAAGACACAGGTAGCGATGAACTGGAAATAGCATATTCTGTTTTCTGACAAATTTCCTAAATACATGTAGAATACACCGCCAAATATAGTACATTTACATTAACAAGATTAAGTATCATGTTAGATTTCACAGTATTTCCTTCTGTTTTAAATCATTTCACTATAGTGTACTTGCCATCAGTATATAGATATCTCTATGTTAAGTTTTTGCATATCAATATTTTTTTCCCTTCATTCTATCATAAAAGTCCAAATCCAGCACCAATGAAAACGAGGATGTTGAAGTAAGAATAACTCGTGTGTCCCAGGAAATGGCGGAAGACTTTAACAGCCATGCCTACATAAAGAGCGTAGACTCTGTATGCATGCTGCCTAAACAACATCCTAAGATTGAACAATATAGAACTTCTAAATGTAAGTTTTAATGATATATTTATTTGCAAATTTAGACATTTGATCTTACTTTGAAATTAGCATGAAAAATCATAATTTATACTCATCAAGGGTAGAAAACTCCTCATCCCTGAAATTTACATTTTAAACCTTTCTAGAAATACAGGGTTACTTTCATATAAACTTGCTAGTATGAAGTTTTCCTTTGGAGAAAGGTCAATTTTAAAAATGTGAAAAATTAATTCGAACATGGCTCTCAGTCCAAAGGGAGTCCAAGGGTCAGTTTTAGAGGAACATTTTCTGGACTAGAAATCATTAGTTACAGCTATTCTGATATGTTAAGTTGTAGATGAAGCAACGGAACAGAGGAAAGTTTCAGGAAGTGGAAACAACAGGTACGTGCTTGTAGACATGCTAACCCCTATGAGGGCTATAAATTTTTATGCTCCCCAAACGAAGTTGGGGAACATATTGTTTTTACTCTGTTTCTTATTATTAAGGTCTTCCGTCTTCAGCGGAAGACCTTATTGTTTTTCTTCGGTTTCTTTTTCACTTTTATTATTTTTTTTTATTAACGATTTTGTGCACGCGATTTCTCCAAAACGGCTCAACAAAATCTTATGAAACTTTCAGGACGTATGGAACATCACTTGAACCTTATGCGTTTTTTTCCGTTTTGATGACGTCACTTCCGGTCTAGAGATAAAGTCGAGTTTATGATTTTTAAGGGTCATTTTTTACACAATTTTACCGAAAAACGACTCTAGATAGAAACTTCAAACTTTGACGCTAGGTAGAGCTATGTCTGGAGAGGTGCATCAGGTATATCAAATTTACCGGAAGTGACGCTCGTCGGCGCTCGCTATGGCCCGAAAATAGACCTATCACAAATTTCAAAATTTCTCACACCTTTTCTTCGATATCTTTTTACCTGAAAATATTTTGTGAAAACGTATAGAACAAAAGAAGTGCAGAATTTAAAGATCTTTCAAATGATATCTCGAAAAAAGGGCTGGCCCCTAAATTTAAGGGCCTAGAGGGGCCAACAGTTTTTTCTTTATATCTCAAAACGTATTGAGAATTTGTAATACGTCAAAGAAACAAAGTTGTTCAAAATGACAAGCTTAATCTATTGAAGTCGTCAGAAAACGTCCGGCGTCGTCACTTCCGGCCAAACCGGAAGTAGTCGAAAAAAGCGTATTTTTGCCGTTCTTGACAAGTTTTTTGGTAACAAATGTCTCTAGAAGCAAAAAAATAATTTTTTCGTCCGTTGTCGTCACTTCCGGTCAAACCGGAAGTAGCAAAAAATTGCTTATTTTTGCATTAATTAACATAGTGTTAAAGGATTCAAACCATTTTTAGGCGTTATTTCTCATTTTTGTTAAAAATTAATGCTACTTCCGGTCAAACAGGAGGGAAGACCTTCTCGTTGCTTTGCAACAAGCTTTGCTCTAGTTATTATTCTTTTTTCTTCTTATTTCTTCTCCGGTACTTTTTTTGTCCGGAAGTGTTCTCAGAAACTGTTCACCAAACTAAGTTAAAACCTTTTTAGGGTTAGTAGGCATGTTGTGTAGATGTGCCGAACGAAGGTCATTTTGCGCGCATTCGCATGCACGTGCGGGCGCGTGCAATGAGTAAAATGACTGATATATTTAATATGGTTGTAACTTTTATATTTTTTGATAAAATGTTTTGAAACTCATTATATAAAGATATATAAGATGTGTAGATAAGATGACATGGTCAAATTTGCATGAACTCACGCGCATGCACGTGCGCTTTGCTCTGATTGGCTGAAACAGAAATCTCAATATCTTTTTTGTTTTATGATGAAATGCTTTGAAATTCATAACATAGACGGCATTAGGATGTACTACAATATGATATATAAAAATTTTCATGAAATTACGCGCATGCACGTGCGCTGCAATCTGATTGGCTGAAACTTTAAATGAGTATAACTCCCTTGGTTTTCAACCAAACAGCATGGGATTTATAACATAGATAAACGTAAAGGACTCCTACAAGACGGTATAGTCACCATTCACATGCATGCACGTGCGTGCACGTGCGCTTTGCTCTGATTGGCTGAAACAAAAATCTCAATATCTTTTCTGTTTTTTTTTTTACAAAATGCTTCGAAATTTAAAACATAAGCATACTTTAAGATGTCCTACAATATGATATATAATAATTGTCATGAAAATACGCGCATGCACGTGCGCTGCAATCTGATTGGCTTAAACTTTAAATGGCTATAACTCCCTTGTTTTTCAACCAAACAGGATGGGATTAAGAACATAGACATACATAATGGACTCCTACAAGAAGGTATGGTCGTCATGCACGTGCGTGCACGTGCAAATGAGTAAAATAGTGTAGACAAGATGATATCGTCATAACGCTCATGCAATCACATGCACACGCCTGCATTGCTTGAATTTGAAATACTTGGTATACTTTTGGGAAAACGTTGTTTACGTCTTAAATGCATAGATTTTTATTTTTCTTCTTCTTCTTCTTCTTCTTCTTCTTCCTGGGTACTTTTTTGTCCGGGAGTGATCTTGTAAACTGTTCGTCCGATGTAGGTAAAACCTTTTTAGGGTCAGTAGACATGTTATGTAGATTTGCGGAATCAAGGTCATTTTGCGCGCACATGCTTGGAAGAGCGTGCACGTGCAACACGTGAAATGACCAATATAATGGATATAGCCGTAACTTTTCTATTTTTTGATGAAATTTTTTGAAACTCATAATGTAAGGATACATTAGAAGTATAGACAAGATAGCATGGTCAAAATAGCAAGATATCACGCGCATGCACGTGCGCTTCGCTCTGACTGGCTGAAACTAAAGTCTCAATATCTTTCTTGTTTCTTGTCATAATCCTTTGAAATTTTGAACATAGTCCTACATTATGAAGGTCTACAGCATGATATAAAAGAATTTTCATGAAAGCATGCGCATGTGCGCGTGCTGCAATCTGATTGGCTGAAACTTTAAATGGCTATATATCCTTTGTTTTTTGACGAAATTCTTTGAAATTTAAAATATAGTCATGCATTAGGATAGCCTACAATGTGGTATAGAAAAAAAATCATAAAATCACGCACATGCACGTGTGCTGCAATCTGATTGGCTGAAACTTGAAATGGCTAATATAACTCCCTTGTTTTTCAACCGAACCGGATGGGATTTAGAACATAGATCGATGTAAGGGAATCCTACAAGAAGGTGTGGTCATCATGCACGTGCACGCACGTGCGTGCATTTAAAACGAGTATAATTAAAAATACACTTGAATGAGTGATTTTTATTACTTTTGGACGGAATGCTTTAATATATAGTATATTAAAATATATAGATAGTGTAGACAAGATGATATGGTCATAACTCACATGCATTCACATGCGCTGGGGTGCAATGCAAAAATTTGAATATAATTGGTATCCTTTTGGGAAAACGTTGTTAAAGTCAAAAATGCACCGAGTTTGTCTTATTTAATGAAGCTTACAGGGAAT